ACTCTTGTCAATTGTGATATTTTTGCTGGAATATTATTTTTTTTTCTGAATGAAATTTGCATTATAAAGATATAAAATAAAAACCAAGGTTATGTATCTCCAAATCACCAGGATGGATTGATCACTGCTCTTTATGAGTTGATTAGTATTGTGAAGTGTTTGCAAGATTCCACACTGCAGTGAATGTAAGAGAGGAGAGATTGTAGGCTGCTGGAACGTTCTTACAAGAAGTATTACTCTCCATCAGGTCTTCAGTGTTACCAATGGAACGTTCTTACAAGAAGTATTACTCTCCATAAGGTCTTCAGTGTTATCAATGGAACGTTCTTACAAGAAGTATTACTCTCCATCAGGTTTTCAGTGTTATCAATGGAACGTTCTTACAAGAAGTATTACTCTCCATCAGGTCTTCAGTGTTACCAATGGAACGTTCTTACAAGAAGTATTACTCTCCATCAGGTCTTCAGTGTTATCAATAACTTGATAATACAACGTAGAGAAAATATGAACTGTGGCGAATGTTTCATTTCAACGTTGTGAAAATAGTTCAAAAAGGTATCTATACAACTGTGAAAATAGTTCAAAAATATATCTATACAACTATGAAAAATAGTTCAAAAAGGTATCTATACAACTGTGAAAAATAGTTCAAAAAGGTATCTATACAACTGTGAAAAATAGTTCAAAAAGGTATCTATACAACTGTGAAAATAGTTCAAAAATATATGTATACAACTATGAATTTACTGCATTTATTGTTGCTCATATATAAAGGTCAGTATACAAATTATCTATGGAAATAGAAACTTTGAATCGATTGAGACACACGAACAATATATCGTTCTGGAAGGGTTGAGATACACGAACAATATATCGTTCTGGAAGCGTTGAGATACACGAACAATATATCGTTCTGGAAGGGTTGAGACACATGAACAATATATCGTTCTGGAAGGGTTGAGATACACGAACAATATATCGTTCTGGAAGGGTTGAGACACATGAACAATATATCGTTCTGGAAGGGTTGAGACACATGAACAATATATCGTTCTGGAAGGGTTGAGACACATGAACAATATATCGTTCTGGAAGGGTTGAGACACATGAACAATATATCGTTCTGGAAGGGTTGAGATACACGAACAATATATCGTTCTGGTAGGGTTGACATACACGAACAATATATCGTTCTAGGAAGGGTTGAGATACACGAACAATATATCGTTCTGGTACGGTTGACATACACGAACTAT